CAAAAATAAAGAAAATTCAAATTTTTCTCAAAATATAAAATACTTCCGCTTGAAAAGAAAATAGAATACAATAATACTTGGTGGAAACTATTTACAGCTTTTTATGCATACTAAATCAAGAAACCAGACACACAGATACATAGGCCTACAGTGTGTGGCGCTTTAATGTAGTTTAAATGCGACTATACAATGTCACAGTTTAAACATTACTCTTCGCCAGGTATTAATAGGATACATCAGAAATAATTTTTTGGTTCTCTTTAACATGCAAGTGGACCAAAACTAAGAATAAAAACTGTGTTCTTCTCTTTCATCCACACGCATTCATCGCCAATTGACACGTAATCTTATATATTCTTTACTCAGTCAAAATCAAGACAGCAAGAACACTGCACGTAGATTTGAACGAATTTACACAATATTAACGAATACGGAGACTACTTTTGCGTGTCTCCATTACAGAGAAATCTAAATTTCAAATCAGTTAATACCTCGGATTATAAAATGAAAGGATGGTTCTGTGAGTTGACTCTGTGCATATTTTAGTAACTTGTCGTTCAGTCTGGTTACCAGTGGTGACCATTAAACCAATAAAAAACAAAGGTCAGTCAATGGGGAAGAATTTTTACACAAATCCTTAGCCCTTTATTTTATGTAATAGGCTCGTTCTCTGGTGGTTTTTCGAAATAAGCCAGTGAGAACGCAGTTTACGAAGCGGTAAATGTCTAATGGCTGATCAGAGCTATCTGTAAATGCTTTACCAGGATATCCGAAGGCCAACAGCATTTAAGTAACCATTCTATGGTATAGAATAAGTAAATACAGCTTTACCTTGAAAGCTTTACTGTTCCAAGCGTACTTAGATCACGGAGAATACCTAACACTTGTTTTACACACTTTACAAAAAACTGTATCTTGTAAATTTCGAGGCTATAGCAGAAACCACGTGACTGTTAATACAAAACAGGAATGATATTTTGAATATTGTTGTTTTACACGTTTGTATGAGAAATTTCAGTTACAAGGAACAGTTTACTTGTATTTATTGGTTCCATAGATTTAAGTAACGAGTAACAATACAGATGCATTTTTTTATACAGAACATGACAAAACAATGATGTTGTTATAATTCTTGAGCCCCCTCTGAAACTTTCATTAAGATATAGAAATGTAAAATAAAAATATTTTATAGTCTATTCTTGTCTTTAGAAAATTGACTTATGTAACTCTGAAGATTACTTTTATGTAAACACTGGCTTCCATTTGAGATTCAAATGTTTAGTGTACATTTCTACTCTTATATTACTTGTCTTGCTAATTAGATAAGTCAAACATTAAAGCAGATTAATTCACATTTCACTATTAATGTGATATCATTCAAGTTAAGCTTTGGTCTTATTAGTTTGATGAATCATTCATTATCCCATGATTCCATAGAAAAATTATCAATCATAAGTTCAGTTGATTTTGAGAAGATGCTTAGGATTAAAAAACTTTATTCATCAAGACTTTACGAACAGAGGTTAACTTAAACTGAGCTTCAGTACCACTAAGACTGAAAATATTAGTGAAATCGTCTTTTTCTATCAAATCATATAAAAGTGAATTGATTCATCAAGCTAACAAAACCAAAACTTAATTTGAATTAAACCATCATTCTCTAAAATAAGTAAAATACAAAAAGCTGAGTGTTATTTACTCTGAATATGTAATTAATGAGTAGAAGGTTGAAACTGGCATATGTGATATTCAAGCTTGTAATCTGTAAATTGTCAAAGATATTTTATTTATATAACTTCAGTCAGTTTACAACAACATTCTGTGAAGTTTCATTTTTCCAAGTCTTACCATCTTCAACAACACAAAATAAGCTTTTGATCATACTGAGATGAAGTACTTATTAACTCATATTTTGAGATGAAGTTCTTACTAATTTTCAAGAAGAAATAATGAAACCTGGTCATATAAATATATCTATGGTAAAACCAAATAATATTTAAGTTGTTTTACTAGGCATACATATAACTTAAATCATACCTTATTTTAATATTCTAAAAACACATGTGTAATTACCACCTGAAATAATGAAGACTTCATTAATGTTTTATAAGCAGAAGAAGATATTTATCATAATCAAAATAGCAAAAAGTGGTTCATGGACATTCTAAGAATTTAAAACATATATTTCTTTTGCAATAGAATTCACTATCCATTACCATAACTACATATCTTTGCCATTCTGATGTTTTTAATTTTTTTTTTATTTGTTTTAACATAAATTGTCCAAAACATTGAATAACATCTTATGTACATGTGAATTAAGCCTCTGGCTCATTGAAGAGCTAAACAGCTAGGTCAGAGACACCTACAAGTCAGATATAACAGCAACCAATATCAAAAAAGCCATATCCGTTTCTTTAAACAAATAACAGGGTTAACTGTCATTTTTATCATGTGCCAACAGCTGAAAGTGCAAAGCATGCTTAGTTTGGGATGCTAACCATTGAGTCACTCCCAATTCCTATGTTAAAGAACATTTGTGGCTAAAGCTTTACTATAAAGTGATCTGAAAACAACAATGACTACTGCTAACAACCAATGCTTGACTAAGATATGATGACAAAACTACAATCTATTGCTACAAAAACACGTTTTGTGTTACCTGTGAGTGCACTAACAATTTAATGAAAAGTAATAATCTTTTATGAAAAGACTAAAAACAAAAATAAACTTTATATTGACACAGAAAAACATATTAACATCATCTCACTGTAAAAATAACTATCAGTATTATATTATACAAAATCAGAAGTTTAACAGAAATGTCATAATGCTATGACATTTTGCTCAAGTTGATCAAAAATTAGCAAATTATTAAAACTGTCTCTATTCTCCAATGGAATTTTATATATCAAAACAAATTATAACCACTCAATTAAATGAGGTAATTTTCTACTGCATTGTAATAATGTGTTTAATAAAACTGACTGAAAAAAACATTTTTTTTTTCCAACTCATCTAAAATTATCAAAATGCCTTATAAACGTCATTTCAACACACTTAGGGAACTTATCATAATGTCTAGTTTGTGGTTTGTAGAATACAAAAGTTAAGTATAAGAAATATATGCTACATCAGGATTTGATTCACTGCTTATGCAATAATTTGATGACAAGTCACTCAGTATGAGCTAGCAAGTGTTCCAATTAGGCTGTCTCAGCAAAAACAACTCTGTTAGGGAAAAGTGTGATCATGTCTAAACTTTCAACACTGATACTAACAGCTCTAATGTTCCTAATTAATCAGACAATGATAACCCCAGGCAATTTATGAATACCATAAGAAAGGGAGAGCAAACCAGCAAGAACGAACAAAACAGCAAACTACATATGCCTTTATATACTGTGTTTAGTCCTTCAAAGCTTTTAGTAACTACTTATATTCACAACTGTGTTAATAAAATAAAACTGGAAAAATTATTTTAAGGAAATTTATGGTTTGTTAGCAATCAAAAGATATATTTTAATTTTAAAGACAACTTGTTTTCAAAACTACTGGCAGTTTCTCACAGGTTTTACTTTTAAAATATGTAATTAAACCCTCAACAGAGGACAAGAACTCAAAATGTATAATGTCTTGGAATAAGGTAAAATGTTACAATGCAACAGAAAGAATGCATTTTCTTCATGTGTGACACAAGCCCATGAAATATCAGAAACCAATTAAAAGTATAAACACTGTAATTCTTTGTTGATTAACTAAAATTCAAACACTGAATTTGTTTATATGTTCATTAGATGTCTACCAACGACACTTAAACTAATAACTTAGTGTACTATTGTAAATATGTACATCCAAATTGTTCATACATATCTTTCAAGTATGGAATAAATTAATGTAATGTAGCTACATTTTTATTATTCTACCAGAGGGCTTCTGAAAACATGACTATACAGATTATTACACAAATGCTTCTCAAATTATTCACACATATCTCCTGCAAGATAACAGGAGCTTATTCAGTGTGCTGAGGTACCCACTGAAAAAAACAACTAAAGTAATAATTTCCAGCTTAATGTAGAATTTTACATTCATAAACTAGTCCAAAACTTTTTAAAATATTCAAACCAAGACCAAGTGACAACACACATTGCATCATCAAGTAAATTACTACATGTGTCTATAACTAAACCTGATCTTCCAACAGGCCATTTATCATGTAAAAGAAAAAAGTTAAGAGTTAGTTTGATCTATAAAACTAAAGCATTTTTCCTAATTATAATTTATTACCAAAACTATACATCTTGGAGATAAAGAAGTGTAAGAACTGGAACCCAACAGAGTGACAGTAATTATTATTTTCAAGTAAGAAACTGCTAATATTACTTCCCAAATAACAATCAAAATAAGTGTTTTTTCGTCTTACCAGTTCAGTTTTATGTATCAGTTTTTAATATCAAATTAAGAACACAAATTAGGATCACAAAAGTGTGCAACTCAGAGTTTAAAAAAAGAATTATAGCAATAACATATCATTAACTAGTTTTTAATTCAACTAAAAATGTAATGTTAAACATTTTCATTTCTAGTATAATAGTAGTAGTAGTTTCAAATATATTCATTTGTTATTAAGTGATACTACAACTTACAAGTACAATGCCCATTGATAAATGAAAAATTCTTAGTATATGCTAACGTTAGTTATAACTTATTGGTATTATATAGTGAAACCACACACACACACACACACACACACACACACACACACACACACACATATATATATATATATATATATATATCATTTTATTTTACTTTTAGTCATAACAACCAAATAACGTGTATACTTTTATTACTAGTACTACATTAATTATACAAGGCTGAAATTGAAAATTGAGACTTTAGACGCTAGTTAGTTACTGTACTTGAAAATATATTATCGTTAACAATTCACTTCTTATTTACGTTTTATTTTTAAATTTAAGAACAAATCTACTTACCACTACCACCGAGTACCAGTACCAACCATCACACAGCGGTACAACTTCAGTGCAAATTAACATTTAACACTGACACTAACTACTTGTAAGTTGTAATTATTTTTGTATTGACATTTTTCTTACAATAGTCTATCAAAATGTAATCAAACATGGGTAAAATTCACCAATTAAACATCATTTCAGCCTTTAGTTTAGTCACATTCATTTGCTAACTGCTTTCACTCAAATGTTTTGTCATATCTGCTTCATGCGACCTCTATAGAAGAAAGTTTAAAACTGATTGCACTTTTTAACAAAAACCTTCCTAATTTCGCATTAAAATAATACTTTGTAATCTAAATAAGGAAAAATGAAAGGAAAAGTTCAAAAACAGGTAAAAAAATCAAAAATAAGATATTATTAAATATGTATATAAATAGATTAAAACGAGTGAAGAGGCGCAGTTTGTTTCATTTATTTTTTCTAAAATAGTGTTTTCCAATCCATTATTATATTTTAGGTTTATTTATTTGTTTTTTAATGTTTACGTCAAACTACTCAAAGGCTATCTGCACTAGCCATCCATAATTTGAAACTGATAGACTAGAGGGGAGGCAGTTGGTCAACAACACTCACCACCATCTATTGAGTTACATTAACCTAACATAATAATGGGATTTAACCGTTACCCTTATAACGCACCAACAACCCCGAATTGCGAATTCTAGACTGGAATATCGATAGTCCAGCACGCTAACCAATTGACTATGCTTGACCTCATGGGCTCACACGGTTGAAACTGCACTTTTATTTTGGGAACATGAACTTATAACAGTACCATTTGTCTGGTGAAATTAAAATAATTTTACTGTGAGTTTTAAAAAAATGATCTCCTAAGTTTTTCAACTTTTGTTTTCGCCAGAAGATATTTTCCGTTTGTTTGTTGAATTTTGTGCAAAACTACTCGAAGGTTATCTGCGCTAAGCGTCCCTAATTTAGAAGTGATAGACAAGAGGAAAGGCAACTAGTCAACCCCACCACCGCCAACTTTTCGGTTAATCCAATGGATTAACCGTCAAATTATAGCACCTCTACAGCTGAAAGGGCAAGTATGTTCGGTGATGGGTTTCGAACCCGCGACCTTCAGATTGTGGATCGAGCACCCTAACTACCAGGGGTATTTTCAGTATGTTAAATATGTTTATATATTTGGATATAAAAGGATAATCATTCAAGCATTAAATTCTCCCATGTTTCACGTAATTGAAAGGCCTTTTATCATTAATTTTTCTTCCGTGTGCTTTATGCCCATCATCTTTGCACTTTTTCAATTTGTTATGTGGCCTTGTTCTTTTATATAAAAAAAAATGTTTTCTTCCCAAAATATTATTCCCCCCTCCAATACATAATTGTCTACATTCATATATAATGCTTAATGTGTTGTTGATTCTCTCCAGGCTATGTTTAGGTGATTAGAAAATTTAAGAAAATAATCAAATAAGCAATTAATTTTGAAAATGATTCGATTCCGATCGCCACAACTTTGTAATAGGTCTCGGTTCTTAAATTATCAGAAAAAAAATGCTTTTATACTTTTACGCTATAAATAATTTATTACATTAAGCTGTAATAGCGCGAGAATAGTTAAAACCGTATTACAATTCTAAAGGCGAGGATAAATTGTTTTATATGTCACATTTCAACCCAAAAACATTATATATTACTTTCGCTGCAGTAATGAAAAACATATTTAATAAATACCACCAATTCTGCCTCACCATCATTGGATTTAAACTAAATGCGGTATAATAATTTCTTTTCAGGTATATTGTGCTACTATATTACGAGTTAAAAAACACAAAACATATTTGGTACGATGAAAGGTAAAATCTCTACAGTTAGTTAGAACTGATTAGTTTCGATAATACGGTCACGAATATCGAGGCTGGTTTTTGCAGAGAAGCATTTTTGTAAATATTTCCTTGGCTTCCTTGCAGTGCCAAAGTGTACTGCAGTGGGCACAACAGGGAACCAACAAAAATCTACAAAAACCTTCATTGGAGTATACGTTCACACTGCAGGGAACCCAACACATTACTTAAATTGACACTGCAGGGAAGACAACACATTTGGTAGAAAAAGCTTCATTGCAATACAAATATTCAAGTACTGAGGCCAACTAAGTATTTTAAAATAGCTTCACTTTGTACACGTTTGCACAACGGGAAACAACAAAAATATTACAAAAAGCTTAAACTTCTCGAAGTGCAGTGAATCAGTTTGTTAATACTTTGTTGGCTTCCCTGCCTGCATATTTGTACTGCAGTTAAGCTATTTTTAGCAGCTTTGTAGGCTTCTCTGCAGTGCCATCGTGTACTGCAGTGAAGCTCTTTGTAAATATTTTATTGCCTTCCTTTTTATGATTTTTTGTTTGTTTCTCTGCTTTGCAAACCTGTACTGAAGTGAGGCTGTTTCAAAATACTTTGTTGGTTTCCCTGCTTGCATATTTGTACTGCAGTAAAGCTTTTCGTAAGTTTTATTGTTGGTTTTCCTGTAATGCCTCGGCGTACTGCAGTGATGTTTCTGTAAATATTTTCTTGGATTTCCTGCAGTGAAGCTTTTGTAGGTTTATTTTTCCATTGGTTTCCCAGCTGTGCCAATATGTACTGCAGTGAAGCTGTTGTTAATTATTCTTTTAGCTTTAATGGAGTGAATCAACTTGTAACCACACTGTTGACTTTCCAAAGTGTGTTGTAGTGAAGCGATATCTAACTACTTTGTTGGCATCCCTGATTGGATAACTGTCCTGCAGTTAACCTTTTTGTAACAACTTTGTTGGTCTCCCTGCATTACCAATGTGTACTGCAGTGAAGCTTTTCGTAATTTTTGTTGGTTTTTCTGTAGTGCCTCGGTGTGCTGCAGTGAAACTATTTGTGATTTTTCATTGGTTTCCCTGCTGTACCAACATGTACTGCAAAGAAGCCGTTTGTAACTACTTAGTTGGCTTCCCTGCTTGCATATTGGTACTGCAATGAACTTTTTTCTAGCAACTATGCTGGCTTCAATACTACACTGTTGGCTTCCCTGCATTGCCAACGTGCATTGCAGTAGAGCTGTTTGTAAGTAATATGTTGACTTCCCTTCAGTGATAAAGTGTACTGCGGTAAAGCTGTTTGTAACTACTTCTTTTTTTGTATATTTGTGCTGCAATGAAACTTTTCTAAGAACTGCGTTTGCTTCCCAGCAGTGTTAATGTGTACCGCAGTGAAGTTGTTTAGTAGTTTTAATTAAAGTATTGGATTGCCTGCAGTAATAAATCGTATTGCAGTGAAGGTGTTTGTAACATTTTGTTGACTTCCTTACAATGCAAATACATACTGCGAACAAGCGTTTTGCAACTGTTTTGTTTAATTTCGTAGAGTGCTAATTTTTACTGCAAATAAGCTGTTTTTCACTTCTTTCTTCATTTCCAATGCGTTCTACAGTAAAGTTGTTTGTAACTAACGTGTTGACTTCCTTGCAGTTGTCTCGTGTACTGTAGTGAACATTTTTAACCCCTGTATTAGCTTCCCTACAATGCTAATATATAGTACAGAAAAACCGTTCCTAACTACAATTTTGGCTTCCCTGCAGTTCCAACGTGTATTGTAGCAAAGCTGTTTGTACGAAATGTGATGGCTTCCCTGCAATGCTACAGTGTACTGCAATTAAGCTGTTTGTAAATACCTTCTTCGATTTCCTGCAGTGCCAACGTGTACAGCAGTAAAGTTGTTTGTAAGAATTTTGTTGACTTCCTTGCAGTGCCAAAATATACTGCATTTAAGCTTTTTGTAAATATTTCCTTGGGTTCCATGAAGTACCAACGTGTAATACAGTGAAGCTTTTGTAAGTATTTTCTTGGCTTTCCTTCAATTCCAGCGTGTACTGCAGTAAAGCTCTTTGTAAGTTTTTGACCGTCTCCTTGCATTGCCAATGTGTATTGCAGTGAAGCTTTTTATAGTTTTTAATTGTTTTCCCTGCTGTGCCAACGTGTACTACAGTGAATCATTTTGTAACTACTTTGTTGGCTTCCCTGCAATGCTAAGGTGTACTGTAGTGAAATTGTTTGTAAATTTTGTTCGCTTCCTTCTAGTGCCAACGTGTACTGCAGTGAAGCTGTTTCTGACTACTTTGTTGGGTTTCTTACTTGCATACTTTTACTGCAGTGAAGCTGTTTATAAATATTTTCTTCATTTCCCTAGTGTGCCAATGTGTACTGCAGTGAAATTATTTGTAAATATTTTGTTGCCTTCCCTACAGTGCCAACGTGTACTGCAGTTAAGCTTTTTTTAAATATTTTCTTTGCTTCCCTACAGCGCCAAAGTGTACTGCAATAAAGCTTTTGATATTTTTTATTATCCTGCAGTGCCGATGTTTACTGCAGTGAAGCTTTTTTATTTTTGGTTTCTGAAGTGAGGCTGTTTGTAACTACTTTGTTGGTTTCCCTGCAGTGCTTCAGTGAATATTTCCTTGGCTTCCCTGAAATTCCAACGTTTACTTCAGTGAAGCTTTTAGTAATTTTTCATTGGTGTCCGTGCTGTACCAACATGTACTACAATGAAGCAGTTTGTAACTATTTAATTGGCTTCCCTGCTTGCATATTTGTACTGCAGTGAACCTTTTTCTAGTAACTATGCTAGCTTCAATGCTACACTGCTGGCTTCCCTGCAGTGTCAACGTGTATTGCAGTGGAGCTGTTTGTAAGAAATGTGTTGGCTTCCCTGATAGTATACTTGTATAGCAGTGAAGGTTTTGTAGCAACTGTGTTTGCATCCCCTCAGTGTCAATGTGTACTGTAGTGAAACTGTTTGTGAATATTTTGTTGACTTCTCAGCAGTGCCAGCAACACTGATATTAGAAACTCCATCCATTTAAGAAAGGGGTTCATTTAGCTTGCTAGGAAGATTAACAAGAAGGAGAGCTACTCTATTTGGCTTTTCCTACTAAATAAAAGCATCTGCTGCCCTAAGCATGAACCCTACATTTTCTTTTACAAGGTTAAAGCACATCAAAATTAACAAACTAACTGAGATCTAAGTTATTTTTAGCCCATTGCCATGTTAAGCTTAAATTTGATGTCCTTCAACACCCCAGTAATATTAATACAATCAACTTATATACAACCTAAAGTTATCAACTAACTGGATGTTGTCGTATACAAACATTATGTCGCTAGCCCTTTCATAACTTACAAAATGTATATACCTTTATTACCGCAT